AAATGAAAATGAAATGTGTCAGCTTATACGCCGAACGGCGCTTCGCTGCCGCGCGACCACCACCAGTCGCGCGCGGGCTGAGTATACCGCGAGGACGCCCACCCCTACGCGGATTCGAACCGGTGACCTTATGGTTGGAAAGCAAACGTGCCAACCACTCGGCCACCGGCCGGATGAAGATACTACTGCTCAGGCCTTCTCCCTCTCATGCTTTTTCATCCTTATCGTCCTGTTTTAACCACTTTTATGCCCCCTGTTTTTACCCCTACCCCTAAATTATTCTCCGTCCCCCAACTTGCTTCAATAGGGGTTTGTCTTCTAGTTTCCGCTCACACATTCCCACGGCGGGGCTCTGGGCCAGTCGACAGTTCCATTTTCAACCAATAGGACAAGACCAGTTCCTCCGTTTCTCATTAGTCCTCGGTCATTTCTAAGATTGGTATGCCTCAATGTGTGTTCTTTGTGACCGATTGGCCAACAGGCAGCGTTTGCCTTGACACCAAACTCTATCGACCCATGTCTGCTGCTTCTCAGATACCCGCCTACAAGATTCGAGCTCTGTGATTACCCTGCGATCCCCAAAAAGTGGCACTGATGGCACTTTCCCATTGTGTTTGTCTGAAGATAACGCGGCTTCAAATAATGGTCAAACCAGTGTGGGCATTGTTTTGGGTCTTCAGACTGAAGCTGTCCTAGTTGACAGGATCCCATTCAACAGCCGCATGTGCGCCATCATATTAGCTTGTTCGTTCAAAGTTTCGAATTTGCGCTCGGACAAGGGCTACCTGTTTCTCATCGCGACCTACGCGCCAGCAAATGTAGCACTGATTCGGTGAAACCTGTATTCTATCATCAACTGAGCGAGATCCTTCTTTATGTGAAAACTACGGATATTATGGTACTTGCTGGTGATCTGAACTCCCAAGTTGGAACACTGTCCACTGATAAGCTGCATCGGTGGGCCCAACACCTAACAATCTTCCATGAGCGGTGAGCGGTTGCTACACCAGTGTGTGCTACCTTGCTTGCACTAACTTCCGATACAACATGCGCAGAATGGTGACATGGCGCCCAACAGCCCCGGACCAGTCATGGACACAAGTCCAAGACAGCCCGATAAATTACTGCTGGTGAAGCTTTTCTACAACTGTCGCTCGATTTAGAGCACGTGTGTGGATTCTGACTACGCATTCGTTTGTACCGACCTTTATGTTCGCTACGGTAGGCACATATGGCGACGCTGTGAGTGCATAGATGCTTGATATCCGGCGAACCAGGTGATTTGAATGCGTATCAAAGTACGCTGGCATTCGGGGTCAATAAGCGCTCACTGAATACAGTGGAGGATCACTGGTTGCATTTGCACCAAACTTTATTAGCAGCATGTAAATCATCATGTGGTAAATCAAATCGCCAAACAGCACACTGGGTCTCTAGCAGTCTGTGGCACTTTTTGATGCTCGTTGACATATTCCTGCTGGGAGCGAACATAACGAGACTCGCAGAGATCTCAGGGCAGCACTGGTTCCTAACCTGAAGAGACCGCGAAGCCTGGTGGTCTCATCATGCGTCCGATAGGAAAGTGGCAGCTACCCTTGGTAACCATCCGAAGTTATTCCGTCTGATATAAGGGAAACAGGCAGCAGGAGACCTGGTGTTAGAGGGACAGTACATGACGAGGGTGGACAACCAATCCACAGTTTGTCAACATGCTTGGAGCGTTGTCTTAGCATTTTGAGGCAATTTAATCCGCCGGAATTGTCAGATTTCTAGCCGGCCAGTTGTCACCCTGCGCCATGGACGGTCCCTTTGGATCCAGCCTCTCACTAAGATGTTCAGCGTGAGATCAGTCTTGCACTCGTGAAAGCCAGATTCGTGAGGATCAAACCGGGTTTCGTCGAGGTCGGGGCTGCATCGGTCATATCTTCATCTTACGTAAATTGCTGGAGCACCGTCACATAATTTGGCAGCCCACCGCTGTCCTGTTCCTCGATATCAAAGGTGCCTTCGTTTCAGTAAATCGATGTATTCTTTGGAACGGTCTACTTAGAAAAGGTTTGCCCGAGAGATCTGTACATATTATCTGAGCCCTATACGTGCGTGTTTCTAGCGGGATGAGGGCTTACGGCAATCTGTCGCTGCCCTTCGTTACCTGCAGCGGGATGCCCGCCGTCACCCTTCCTCTTCAACTTCGCTATTGTTTAAATCATGGAAATCGCTTTCACCGGACACGAGTTAGAGTGTGGAGCTGCTCCCATGAGAACGACTTCTTCACTTGGAGTACGCTGATGACATTATTCTCATCTTTGACAGCTCACAAACGTGCCAAGCAGAATTAAACAGATTAGAACTGGCTGTCAGCTGTTTCGGGCTCTGCTTTGCACCCTAACAAGTGCAAAGTTTTCCTCCATGATTGGCAGAGACCGTCTCCTGCACAGACCTTTGGTGCGGATCAGCTAGGAGTCGTACAGAAATTCAATTAGCTAGGTCGTATCAGCGCCTATGTAATCGAAGATGAAATCAGGTACCGTATACCCAAAGCTCGGTACTTTTGCTAACCCTTGCTGCCTATGGCGCCAACGTGATATCACTCTTTCTCCCATGGGTAGAGTGTACATTTAACCGTAGATTAGGCTCTACTGTACGATTTTCATATCTGGCCCAGTAAAGCGGTAGGCGTAAAGAGGTTAGTTACGTTCGATCCCCGGTACCTCCGTAGTTTGGCTTACATCTGGTGGGAACACTGTGTGAACAATGAGCGTATTCGGCGCCTTGTTTATTGCACAGGATGAAGAAATGAACCGCTCAGCACCGGTATACCACGCAGCGGGCTCCGTTGGCTGGGCCACGTGTTGCGGATGCCAACACACAGACTCCCGCAACGTGCGTTGTTTGCGCGACTGGGGTGTGGATGGAAAAAGGAGAGGGCAATCCAACCAACAAAAAGGTTGAGCGGAATGAGGGCCCTCACCAAGAAGTTGGCCTCGGTTGGAGCGTCTCGGCTCCCCTGTTTGCGTCCGAAAGAAGGTGAACACGTTTGGCTGGATACATTTGTTGACATGGCTAGGAGCCGACCTCGGTGGCGTTTGTGTTGTGTATTGTTGTCCGTTCCTCTCCCGCATAGCATCCTTCTCCATCGACGATCACATTCCTGAAGCGGCGCAATAGCCGGATGCTATCTCTCTGGAACGATGTCAGTGGCTCAGCTGGCATACGTATTTAGCCTTTTATCCTTTTCTTTTTTGTGGCGACAAAGCTGTGGTGTTTTTCACTTCTTGGGTACGTGTATGATGATGTTGGTCTCTTATCGTGTTCATTCCAAACCGGAACGTGTCTGCTATTTTCCAGAAATTCTGCAGACTGCGTATGCATCCACTGATCTTGATGACAGTCAGATTTGCTATACGTATACATACCTGCTGCTTATAAGGTTTAGTAAGCATGCAACCAGGATCTTCAATGGTGTTCAGTTGCGCCTGTGTGCTTAGTGTCGTCGTATGCGTCCACCGAAACACACTTGGCGATCGGCACACACAAGTGCATGGTCAGTGTTCACAGTTGTGCTCCAAATCGAGTGCTAATTTCGAACACAACCTTTCCAAAGGGAACTGTTTAATTTGCACTCATGGCTGGGCCGAGGATGGTGGGCGCCATATCATCCTCCTGTCGTGCGGTGTCGAGAATTGGTTCTCACATGAAATGGATGAACATCTTTACATACTTGCTAGTGTGAAACCCTATTCTTGGTCATTTCTTTTGATCTATATGGGAATTGGGTGTTGCTCGCCCGAATACTCTGTATTCCACTACGCGATCCAATGTTGTTTAATCTCATCAAGTAGAGATAGAACGCCTCGGATCCGGGACCATTTGGATGTTAGTTGGAACCTGTAACCCTTTAGCCAATAGGGCACGACGAGCAACGCTTGGCATGATGGTTACTGACTGATTGGAGGATCATTTTGAGGTACTCGTGTGATTGGGTTGCGCTACTCAGTCTTAATATGTACCGTGATTCACGTCGAAGCAAACTTTGGCCAATTCGATCACTAGAATTGTAAGTGAAGCGTATGGGAATTATGTGTTAGCTGCCCAAACACACTGCACTCTGCTACGCGTTTCATTCTTGTTTGATCTCATCAGGTGGAGAGAGCAGTCTTCGAACCCGGGACCATTGGGATATTAGTCGGAACTTCTACTTCTTTTAGCCACCAGGTCAAGACGGACGGACCCACTTCTAGTACGCTTTACCTACGGTCCTAGTGATCGAATTGGCCAAGGTTCGTTTTACTACGAATCACGGTCCATATTGAGATTGTGTCGCAATCCAGTACACAACGAGTACCTAAAAATGACCCTCTAATCTTTTGAACTGTTATCAGAACTATCTTGACTTTGAACAACGTTGTGCTTTCCGGACTCAAATGAGGGTGTTGTTGGGGCCATTGCCACTTCTTTTAGGAAATGGTTGATCAGTTCTGTCAGTAAAAACTGCCGCGGCACTTGAGCATAATGGTGTCGTGTGCAATTATTTGGCCCGTTTCTTTTGCCTCGAAGTAAGATGTTCGTACCAACCATTTGCGCAATATTGACGTTTTGTCTTGTGTATAGCCTTCTGCATTGTTATGATTACTGGCTTCCACCACAGCAGGGCTACATATTAATGAAGTGCTTCGCATGTCGTACACCCATCCAATTACCCTCACTGGGTAGGGCTTTGATCTCTTGGCATTTCATTCTTTCCCTCTTGGTTAATGACCATGGCCTTCCAGATTAGCAGTTAGAGGTGGACTGGTACCTGTCTCCCTGAATATGGACCTGATTAATGTCACTATTCGGGCACTGCGGAATTGAACTCCAATTATCCAGTTTGCGTTTTACTGTTTTCTTTGCTTTGGCCAATCATTTTGATTTACATATCTCTACTTCTTTCGCAGTTTTTTTATTACAACTCACTGTATCTGGTTCTTCCCCTAACAACGTTGTATTTGTGCTTATAGAGTTCAGGAAAAAGCTCTGTTCTGGAAAACCTTGTCGGTCGTGATTTCTTGCCTCGCGGACCCGGCATCGTCACCCGTCGGCCTCTCGTTCTTCAACTCATTCATGTGGATGAATCGGACCACAACATTCGGTCGGTTGAAGGTGATGGGAAATCAACTGAGTGGGCCACCTTCCTACATCGGAAGGATGTCATCACGGATTTCAACGAAGTTCGCAGAGAGATAAAGGAGGAGACGGATCGTGTCGCTGGGTCAGGGAAGGTGAGAGATGTTTTTACTTATGTTTTACATATAGTTGGCGGCCTCCGTTTTCTTACTTAGCTGTCACTGAGATTGCGAACTACTACATAACGCCTGGCCTATACAGGGACTATGGGTGGATTGCGCTGGAGCACCAACAGCCCCATCCACCTACCCCATATGCACTGTTAATCCGAAGGAATAAAACTAGGAGGCATTTGGACGGAAACTACGATTAACTCGGAGCCGGCCCACACTCCTTCAACATGCACATCATTCCTTTGAACAGAGGGAACTATGCCAACCAGAGGTATACATTGTGGTGACTGGGCCGTAGCCCGTTCCATACTAGATAGAACCATTCTTTGAGCCTAAAACCGTCACGAAGGCTGTGAATTTGGCCCACCCCAACAACAATGAACAGTCTTTTGGAGCCAGTAATCGTTGTGGCGGTTTTCAACAGCTAGGTACTTTACCAGCATTCATATCAAGCACAGCCGCATCTGGTGTACCAAACAACAAGCACTTAAACTGCGAGGAAATAAACACGCGGATACACATAAACCAACTGCAGCGATGATGAATTGCGTGTGCCACATCTACCACATTATTGATCTGGGTTAGTAAATGGAATCGGAAGCGGCGTATATACCAAGCGTTCAACTTACTCCTCGCGTCTTCGCTATTAGTCCCTCACGGCTTACCTGACCGGCTTGGCTGAGGCACATACGACCGCATATGCTTGACCTCCATTGGCACCTGTCTCTTCTTTAACTAGCATTTTTATTCCTGGTAAAACAATCCTTTCTGGTACATCTGGGTTACGGCATTCTTTATGTGGTCATGCCATTTTCGTCGATCCACTGTCATTGCCTCCTAACACCTGAAGTCAACATTAGTTGGTGTTCAACTCGTTTCGCTCATGTCCTGGTAATGTGACCGGTTTTCCCACGTTCCGATTCCCTGCACTAGGTTGTCCATATAGCAGCTGCTTCGGTATCCGCATCGAATGCATGCGACTGTTATGCCCCAGTCACCTGAGGTTCAGGACTTCTACGTCTGCGACTGAGTCACTCCAGCCGAGGCGCATAATCCGGCGCAGGCACTATTGATAGAAGCGCTCCAGATTACGGACGCCCTTCCGATAAAGCGTCTAAATTTCACTGTCATAGTAAAACGGACGGAGCCATCGACCTATATACCATCAGCTTCGTCCCAATGGTCAGCTGACAGTTGTTCCACACTCGATTTTCCAGCTTTCCAAATGCAACAGCCGCCTTTGATACGCGCATTTTCAGTTCGCTCGTCATCTGCATGTCGGCAGATATTACACTTCCAAGGTAGCAAAATCGGGAGGTGATTTGCGAGACGTCATCATCAATGCGGATTTGCGGCAAACAAACAAATTCCATCTCTGATGTAGGCTGAAAAAGACAGTATTGCTCGTGTTGACGTTGAGCCCTAACTTGGCAGCTGTTGAAACGAGAGCCGTATCCATGCGCTGCGCCGTGTGCAAACACCGCGCAGTTATCCGCAAACAACAACGTACGGAAGTTCGTTGCATACACTAGAGTTATCGCTCCGAAACGACGGATATTCAGTGATCCACCATCATTGCGGTGCTCCACACGGACATCACAATCACAAGCGGCATCAAAATTACGATAAATTGTTTCTTGAACGTAAACACAAAATAGGGCAGAAGCTAAGCCACAGTCTTGCTTCACACCAGAAACAACAGCAAGATCATCCGAGGTTTGTCCACAGAGCTATACCCTCGCCTGCATACCACAATGCAGACATTCAATCAGACTTACAAACTTAATCGTACAACCAAACTTACTCAAGACTGACCGTGTTAAATGCTTTGTGGAAGTCTACAAACAGCAAGCACAATGGCTAGTGTCCCTCAGCATTTCTCTTGCAACTGGCGAGCCGCGGTGCTGTGGCTCAGAAGGAATCCATATTGCTCTTCTGCCACGTTCGGTTTCACAAACGGAGTGACATGGCCGTTGAGCAGGACTCGCGCTATCACCTTCCCTACACAACTCAGAAAGTTTATGCCGCGATAACTCGTGCAACATTGCTTGCTCCCTTTACCTTTGTACAGTGATAGCACAAGGGTGTCCTTCAACTTGGCCGGCACTTCCTCTTCTATCCCCACGCGTTGCACAAAGTGGTGCAACGTATGTATCAAGGCGGGCCCATCGTGTTTTGGTACATCTGGCGGTAACCCGTCAGCTTCGACGCACTTGCCGTTTTACAACTGAGCAAGTGCTCTTGCGTCTCATCTAGTGTCGGTGTGTCGACAAGTCACACCTACATTTCGTTTTGTCACAGTCCGTGCAACCTAGGCCAGTCAATCTGTGAACGGTTGTTCAAGAGACACTCGAAGTGCTTTCGCCAGATCTGCATCATATCTGCAGTCTGTGTGCAGGCAGCGCCTGAAGTAGCATCCACCAGTTTATTCATTCAATGTACACGTTAGCTAGAGATGGGGACACCTCAGCCATTTTGCCGCAACACACAAGAAGAAAAATAATGATGATACGCAGCACAGGCACGCTAGCTGAGGCACCGGTAACGGATGAACATCGTTCCAGAGAGATAGCAGGTGGCTGTTGTGCCGCAAAAATGTAATATTATGCTACAAGAATGAGATCGTCGTTGGAGAAGGATGCTATGCGGGAGAGGAACGGACAACAATACACAACACAAACGCCACCGAGGTCGGCTCCTAGCCATGTCAACAAGTGTATCCAGCCAAACGTGTTCACCTTCTTTCGGACGCAAACAGGGGAGCCGAGACGCTCCAACCGAGGCCAACTTCTTGGTGAGGGCCCTCATTCCGTTCAACCTTGTTGTCGGTTGACCTCCTCTCTCCTTTTTCCATCCACACCCCGGTCGCGCAAACAACGCACGTTGCGGGAGTTTGTGTGTTGGCATTCGCAACACGTGGCCCAGCCATCGGAGCCCACTGCGTGGTAAAACGGTGCTGAACGGTTCATTTCTTCATCCTGTGCCATAAACAAGGCGCCGAATACGCTCGTTGTTCACACAGTGTTCCCACCAGATGTAAGCCAAACTACGGAGGTACCGGGGATCGAACGTAACTAGCCTCTTTGCGCCTACCGCTTCACTGGGCCAGGTATCAAAACCGTACAGTAGAGCCTAACGTACGGCTAAATGTACACTCTACCCATGGGGGACAGAGTGATATCGCGTTGACGCCATAGGCAGCAAGGGTTAGCAAAAGTACCGAGCTTTGGGTATACGGTACCTGACTTCGTCTTCGATTACACAGGCTCTGATACGACCTAGCTAATTGAATTTCTGTACGACTCCTAGCTGATCCGCACCAAAGGTCTGTGCAGGAGACGGTCTCTGCCAATCATGGAGGAAAACTTTGCACTTGTTAGGGTGCAAAGCAGAGCGCGAAACGGTTGACAGCCAGTTCTAATCTGTTTAGTTCTTTTTGGCACTGTGAGCTGTCAAAGATGAGAACAATGTCATCAGCGTACTCCAAGTCAAGAAGTCGTTCTCATGGGAGCAGCTCCACACTCTAACTCGTGTCCGATGAAAGCGATTTCCATGATTTAATCAATAGAGAAGTTGAAGAGAAAAGGTGACGGCGGGCATCCCTGTCTTACACCGCTGAACATAAGGATGGGTTGCGACAGCTTGCCGTAAGCCCTCACCCTGCTCTGGAAGGGTGCCGAAAAATACGGAAACATTATTTTAGCGCCATACGGGCAGATTGGAGGTTTATGTCAGAATCTCGCTGCCCTTCTGTATGTCCAGCGATGTGAGACGAGATTGCCTGCTGTCGTCTTTCCTCTTTAACTTCGCTATTGATGAAGTCATGGAAACAGCGTTCGCTGGACGCGACTTAAAAGTTGTGGAGCTGCTTTCTTGTGAGCGACATCTTGAGTTGGATTCCGCGCATGACATTGTCTTCATATGTAACAGCACCCGGACGTTCCAAGCAGCACTGGACAGATAAACACTGGCTGTCAGTGATTTTGCACTGTGCTTTGCTCCCTCGAAATGGAAAGTACTTCTGCAAGATTTGCAGGGGCTTACCCCTGCGCTGACCCTTTCTGGTGATTAGCTAGAAATCGTTCAGTAATTCAAGTATTTGGGCAGCTACATTAGCGGCCGTTGGATTGAGGATGAGGTCACGAACCATATAGCAAAAGCTCGAAACGCTTTTGCCAATATCCTCCACCTGTGGCGCTGATGCGACATCACTCTCGACCTGAAGGACAGAGTTTGTAATGCAGCCGCCCGTTCAACCTGGCACATTAGGTCGATAGACATAAAGAGGCTAACTACGTTCGACCATCGTTGCCTTCGCTGCTTCTCTCCTGTCTGATGGGAGCACCGCGTAAGCAGCAAATGTGTTCGGCGTTTCTCGTATTTGGTGCAGGAAGACCCAACCATCCGCTCAGCACTATTAGTCCACGCACCAGGCTCCGATGGTTGGGCCACGTGTTGCGCAAGTCACAACACCGACTCGCGCGACGTGCATTGCTTGCGCGGCCGGGGTCTGGATGGGAGGGAAGCCAAGCAATGACTTGGTCAAGAGGAATGAAAACCTTCACTTAGAAGTTGGCCTCGGTTGGTGCATCCCGACTGCCGGGCTAAGATCCGAAGAACGATAACCACGTTTATTTGCACCCACTCGCTGACATTGCTAGGAGCCGGCTCCAATAGCGTTTATGCTATGAGTTTCCTAGTCCACTATCATCATTATACACGTTAGCTGGATGTGGAACACATCTCAGCTACTGTGCCGCAATACATAAAAGAAAAAATGAAACAGTTGCATTCCATCTGTACCAGTAGCAGTTGGGCATCGTTCCGGAAAGCTACCAGCCGGCTAGTATGCAGCAAAAAAATTTATTGTGCAAAATTATAATATGCTAAGGAATGAGGTCGTGGTTGGAAGAATAGGCCAAGAGGGATGGGGAGGGACAAAGAAACTCACAACACGAACACCATTGTGGTCGGCTCCTAGC